CCTCACCCAAGGGCCTCGCTCAAGAGCCTCACACAAGGACCTTACTCTGAGGCCTCATTCAAAGGATCCAGGGGCTTTTCTTAAGGGCCTTACTCAAGGTCCTCACTAAAGGGCCCTATCCAGAAGGCCATACTCAAGGGCCTCACTAAAGAGCCCTATCCAGAAAGTCTCACACAAGAACCTCATTCGGAAGCCTCATTCAAGGGATCCAGTGGCTTCTTTCATCGGCTTCACCCTAGAGCCTCACTTAAGGTTCTCACTCGGAGGCTTGATTTGAGCTTTGAGGGATCTAAGTCTTAGTTTCAGTCTTAGTCTTAAAGAATCTTAAGTCAAGTTAAGTCAAGTCTTAGTTTCAGTCTTTAAGTCTTAAAAAATCTCGAAGAATTGTGACGACACGCCAGGTCTCCTGGACGTATCCCTATATGCGCCAAGCTACCTCCTTCCTTTTTCTTTACCTTGCATCTTTTCCTTCGTATTCCTCGTATTCTCTTATTCCTTTCTTTTGACCTATAAACTATGGTTCACGAGTCCTTGGCGCTCTTACCTTCGTGTATATAGACCTCAGCTACCTTCGACCTTTATACTCGGTAGTTGTTGATTTTAAGTCATTACTTTAAGATCTTCCTAAGCTTTTATGTGAACTCCGCGCTCCCGTGAGTTCCTTTAAGTAATCGCTTAAAGTCGTCACAAGAATCTCAATTCCCAAAGTCTTAAGTCTCAGTCTCAGTCTTAGTCTCAAGTCTTAAAGAATTTCAAAGAATCTCGAGTCCTAAAGTCTTAAAGTCTTAAATCTCGGTCTCAATTCCAAGTCTTGAAGAATCGCAAGTCTTAAGTCTTAATTTTAATTCTCAATCCTAAAGGATCTCAGGTCAAGTCAAGTCTTAAAGTCTTATATCACGGTCTTTATTTCAAATCTTAAAGGATCTCAAGTCAAGTTTAAACCTTGATAGTTAATCCGAAAAAATCTTAAAGCAAGTCAAGTCTTTAGTTTAATTTCAATCCTAAGTCTTACAGGATCTTAATCTCAAAGTCCTAAAGAATCTTTAGTCTCAAAGTCTCAAGTCTTAGTCTCAATCCTAAAGAATCTCAAGTCAAGTCTCAATCTTAGTTTCAATCCCAAGTTTTAAAGGATTTTAATCTTAGTCTTAAAGAATCTCAAGTCTTAAGTCTTAATCTTAATTTCAGCTTTAAAGAATTTCAAGTCAATTTAAGTCTCAATCTTAGTCTCAGTTTTAATTCCAAGTCTCGAAGGATCTCAAGTCTCAAATCTCAAGTCTCAACCTTAATCTCAGTCCTAAAAGGTCTTAAGTCAAGTCAAGCTTTAAAGAATCTCAAATCTTAAAAAATCTCAAGTCTTAACCTTAATCTCGGTCCTAAACGGTCTTAAGTCAAATCATGTTTTAAAGTCTTCAATCTCAGTCTCAATTCCAACTCTTCAAGGATCTTGATCTTAAACTCCTAAAGAATCTCAAGTCTTAAACTCTCAAGTTGTTAGATTGCCTCTAGCGATCAAGGAATATATATTCGCAAGTTCGTAAACGTCGTTAAACCTCTTGCAATTGCAATTCACTCGGTTATAATAGTAATTCAATTGTATCTGCTTCTTAAGGTTTAAGGGAGCTGATTTATTTTATACGATTAGAAGGAATCACGTGCACTAGCTAACTGATAGGTTTTATAATCAAGTTGGAGGTCCTCTGAACGGCGTGACGTGCTAAGCGAAGCACGCCAAGGGACTCGTAAACTATAGTTCACGAGTAAACTCTTCCAACTACTACTAACTAGCTAAGATCGATATAGATATACCGACACCAGTATTAGTCTTGATCTTAAAGAATCTCAAGTCAAGTCAAATCTCGATTTTAATTTCAATCCCAAGTCTTAAAAGATCTTAATCGTAATATCAAAAAATCTTAAAGTCTTAAGTCTTAACCTTAATCTCAGTTCCAAAGGATCTTAAGTCAAGTCAAGTCTTAAAGTCTTAAATCTCAGACTTAATTCCAACTTCCAAGTCTTGAAAGTTGAAAATCCAAAGTCTCAAGTTTCAAAGAATCATAAATCTCAAGTCCCAAAGAATCTCAAGTCAAGTCAAATCTCGATCTTAATTTCAATCCCAAGTCTTAAAAGATCTTAATGTCAAGTCTTAAAGTCTTAAATATCAGTCTTAATTCCAAGTCTTGAAAATCTCAAGTCTCAAGTTTCAAAGAATCATAAGTCTCAAGTCCCAAGGTTTGAGTTTTAAAAAATCTTAAATCACAAAGAATCTCAAGTCAAGTCAAGTCTTAAAGGATCTTAAGTCTCAATTTTAAAGGGTCTCAAGTCAAGTCAAGCCTTAAAGAATCCCAAGTCCAAAGAATCTCAAAGCCTTAAGTTTCAACCTTAATCTCAGTCCCCAAGGGTCTCAAGTCAAGTCAAGTCTCAAAGAATCTCAAATCCAAACATCTATCCCCTCCTATTCTATTCTATCCCAACTATCCCAAACATCCAAACAAAAAAAAGATCTATCTCCTTCCACGGACCACCTCTTCCTCTTTTTCCTTTCACTTCTTTCTTCCTCCTCCTTCTGCCTCTCTCTATCCATATACTTCTTCTTCTTTCCCTTCCATCTTCTTTTCCTCCTCCTCTTCTTCTTCCTTTCAAAAACATCAAGTCTTGTATTAACCTGCCTTCCTTTTTACTCGCCAACAATCAACAACCAACTTATTTAACAACCCAACTTACCAACCAACCATCACCTACCCAACTCACCACCACCATCACCGCCAGCTTACTACCAACAACAACCACCCAACCAACTCGACTACCTAACCAACCCATCTACATTCTTCTTTCTTTCGTTCTTTCCTTCCCTTCTTCTTTCTTCTTCGTCGTCTTCCTTTTCCTTCTTATCAGACAACCCAATACCCACCAACCACCAACACCAACCCACCCACCAACACCAACTCATACTACCAATACCACCCACCACCCACCACACCACCCACCACACCACCCACCACACCACCCACATCAAAATGCCCCAACAACCTAACAGCTTCCAAAAAGCCCTCGCGGACTACAAGCGCGTGCAAGAAGACGGAACGATATCACCACCACCACCAACCACAACCACAACCACAAGCACAACCATAACCACACCACCTCTACCACCTCTAGCCCCTCTACCACTAACAGCACCACCAGCACCACCAACTTCAAGAACAACAAGAGCACCAAGAGCACCAAAGACAGCAAAGACAACAACAGCAACCCCAGGACGAAGCTCAAGACCAAGCTCAAGACAAACCACAAGACAAACCTCAACCTCCAAACCCCCAACTACAGCACGAACCATAAGATCAACTTCCAAAACAGCAAGTAAAAAAAGAGCAAAAACAGCGAGAACCAAAGATGCTGGACAAGATGGACAAGATCAAAGCACTTTAGAATCATCATCATCCGAATCCGAATCCGAGTCTGAATTCGAAGACTTAGACTCAGAATCTGAACAATTAAACTCTTCACGACTAAAGTCGGATAAAACGAAGAGATATCCTGTTTTTGCTTCTGCTTCTGCTTCTGCTTCTGCTTCTGCTTCTACTTCTGCTAGACATCAACATCCTCTTCATCGAGGACGAGGACATGCACGAGGACGAGGACATGCACTGGGACGAGGACATGCATCAGCATCAGTACGAGGACGGGGACGAGGACATGGTGAAAAAGAGGGTGAAAGGGAGGAGATAAGAGGAGCTGGATCAAGTGCTGCTAGTGGTGGTGATAATGGTGATGATGATGCTGATGGTGATGATGATGCTGATGCTGTTAGGAGGTTAGTATTTACTTCACTTCACTATATTGCTGCACTACATTACACTATTGCTACTGCTGCTATGAAGATGCTGCTAGGAAGCTGAGAAGCTGACAAGTATAAGGCTAACAATAACTACCAGACAAACATCAACCAGATCAAGCAGACCAAGCAGACCAACTACCACCCCACCCACACCACCCACCCACCCCTCCCCCCTCCCCCGCTACATCGACGACGTCGTCGCGCGCCTCAACCTCGTGCGCCACCGCGCAGCCCAACCTCTCCACCATAGCAGCGCCTTCCTCGCGCGCGTCTACGACCGATTCCGTCTTTGGATTCCCATCTACCCTCTCACGCTCATCGTCCGCCTCGGCGCGCGCATCCTCTCTTCTATCCTTCGTATCGTCGGCGCGCTGCTGAGCGTCGTGCCGTACACGGGCTGGGTGCTGGTCGGGACGCTGGTAGCGCTCGGCGCGGTCGTAGGCGGCGGCGGGGCGGTGGGCGCGTGGGTGGTGTGTAAAGGGGGGCAGGTGGTGGAGGGGAGCGCGGTGTTCCAGGTGCCGCTGGCGGTGGCGGGTATGTTGACTTCGTATCAGCGGGGGGCGTGGACGGCGTATGTGCACCGCGAGGTGTGTCCCGGGTTGCCGTGGGAAGGGCGGCTGCCGTTTACGCGGATCTCGATCTGTCCGACGGAGGGGATGGGCGGCGATGCTCGTGATTTTCAGCCGCTGCAGCAGCAGCAGCAGCAGCAGCAGCAGCAGCAGCAGCACGCCCAGGCTCAGGCTCAGGCTCAGGCTCAGGCTCAGGCTCAAGACCAGCAGCAGCACGCCTACGCCCACGACCACGCCCACATCCACCACGACATCGACGTCCTCTTCCAATCCAACCAAGAGTGGCTCTCCATCCTGCACCAGAGCGACTGCGTCAGCACCACGCTCGCCCACCTCAGCGACATCGCCCAGCGCTGGAAGGCCGCCCACCGCACCCTCTTCACCCTCGGCCCGAGCGAGCCGCACGCGCCGCACAGCCACGCCGAGCTGCTCGCCCTCCTGCAGGCGCTCGTCCACAAGCAAGCCGCCGAGCTGGTATACATGCGCGCCATCCCGAACCAGCTCGTGCTGATGCTCAACAAGATGCGCAGCATCCTCCGGACCACGGCGCCGCAGCTAGCGGACCCGGCCCGCCCGGCGGACGAGAGCCGGCGCGGGCGGAAGGCGCTGCGGGAGTTCATCGCTGAGTATGTCGCCCAGCTGGACTCGGCGCTGGGGGATCTGCGGGAGCTGATTCTGAATACGGCGAGCGTGATTCAAGCGCACAAGGACGGGGACGTGCTGATTGATAAGATCCGGCGGGCGGCGCACGCGTGGCGGACGCGGTGCGAGGCGACGGGGGGGTGGGGGAGCTGGATGCGGGGAAGGAGTGGGAGTGGGAGTGGGAGTGGGAGTGGAAGTAGCGGGTGTCGGGTGGAGGTGCGACGAGCGATCGGGCTACTCGGGAGCATCGAGGCGGGGGATATCCGATCGCTGGTGCTGATCCATCACCGGGCGCAGACGAACCTGGCGAATTTCAAGACGACGAAGGGACATTTGTTGGATAAGCCGAATGTGAAGGGGCCGGGGGTGATGGGGATGGCGGGAGTGAATTTCCATCTGCAGGGCGTGGGGGCGATGTATTATTATTTGATTCGGCGGGGGGG